AATTTTTTAATACATCTGTGTACATATACTTCTATAAATGTTTTGTACAGTTCTATTAGGAAGTAGTTTCTTTCATTCCAGGAATATTTACAGAAATTACATAATCTTCATGAGAACTGGTTGATGAAGAAAACTCACTTTAAGTTGCCTTGTCCTGTACTGGTAAGGATTTTACCTATGATTTATTGTACAAATAAAATGTCATAATTTACTGTTATGTTTAACTTGGTTTCATTAGATTTGTTTTGAAAACAATTAGCTATGAACAAGAGTGATTAGTTTTATAATAAACATTATTTTATAACATCATTATTAAAAATGTCTTGAGTATCTGTAAATGATTAGTTTATATTCAACTTTATTATCTAATATAACTAAAAACATGACAAACAAGTATATTAAAAATTCATAAATACACATGAAAATATCTTGTTTTATAATAAATATAATTGTTTTATTTTCTAACAACATTACTAGAAACATCTACACAAAAACATTTATTACAAAAACATCTACTTGCAAACATTTAGCATTTCACTGATATTGCTATCAATGAAGGCATTGTCGTGTAAATTTCCATAACTAAAAACATTACAAATCCATGAGATTGCTTTTATAATATTGTTTTTATTTCCCAACATCACTGCTAAAAAGTCTTCATGTAAAATTGATAGCTGTTTTAAGGTAATGAAGCTCTGTTTTAAAAATGTGTGTATGTATCTCTGTATACCTTTTAAATACCTTAGCTTATAAGGGATTTTGCTTTTATTTAATAGTGAACAATGAAAAGAAATTTGTAATTTACACAATGAGAAAGTAATAAAAACAGAGCACTGACAAAGCATGCATTTGTGTAAAGTATATAAACGTAAACCTATATTGTTTATTTATCATAACATCTACATTACATGTATTATTTTGCAGTTGCAGCACAAAGGTACTATACAGAGGTGCAAAGTGTTTTTTAAAAGTTAGTAAAATTACAATATGGAGATATGTTTAAAAAAACGTCTGATGCATAAGATGCAAAACACTGAAACATGGATTGTTTTTGCTAAATTTTCTGTTTGTTGCCATCCATCTTTTACATTTATTCAGTGTGGGGTGGACAAAACTGGATGTGTGTGTGATATTAATAATAGTTATATATACAAAGAATATAGATGATAAATGCTGTATATATGTCCACTTTTGTTATTTTGAGAAAAACTGCTTTTTGCTGTTGCTTTGACAAAAAATGCTACGAACCAAAAAAGGGTTATTTACTAAATAAAACTATTACAAGTTATTTGAAAATGAGAGAAAATCTAACTTTAGTATTTATTTCAAATTTTGCAAAATGTTTCATGTCCTTGGGTTTTCTTTTAGTCAAAATGCAGCATATTGGTCGTAAAGTACCATTTGCAACTCAGTTTTGCTTGAAGTAGTATATATTGCAGTTTGTATGTAAGTTGTTCACATATATTCATTCATATATTTTACCATTTTTAACATTTAGTCTTTAACATTTTACAGTGCAGCATGTGGAATACTCCACACATTAACTGATAAAGAAATCATGATTCACATTAATGCTGCTACAAACTAGGTAGTGTTTAATAAATAACTGTTTATAGCTTTTTGTAATTTTTATTATGTTAAATATTCTTTCTAGAGTTGGGCTTCTGCTGTAGGGAAAAGCAATGTAATAACATTGTTGCATTAATTTAGATATTTTATTGTTGTGGGTGTGTGACTGAGGGTTTGTGCAGAAAAAGAGGGATATCTATATTTTTGTGTATAGTTTTGGGTTGAGGCTTAGAATCTTGCATTTTAAAATGATTCATGTGTGTGTGTGCTAGATTTCCACAGTTCAAAATTTTCAGGAACTTGTGTGGCTGTATAGAAATTTACTCAGACTTATTTTTCAGTTTGAAAAAAACCCCTACTTATCCAACTGGCAAAGTATAACAATAAAAAGATGTCCCTCAAACAAGTCTTGCTGCCGTAGGTGTTACATGAAATGGTTTCTACACCCCTGAACAGGAACTTGTATCTGAAGTGTTTTTTCTGAATATTTATGTGTGTATAACATATGAAGTCAGGCCAATTATAAAAAAAATAAATCATTACCTTTTTGATGCAGTTTACTTCACACTAACCTTTTTGCCCATTTGTTAATTATTCTCTCTATCTTCATGTTGTTATTATTATTATAAAAACATTACACCTGTGTTTGTAGTGGTGTAGTTTTATTTCAAGTTTGCTTGAAGAGAAATAATAGTTCGAATCAGTTATTCAAACCCCTGTTGATTCAGTAGCTAGCTTGAAGGCATTTAATACTAAAAATCAAGGTTTGATACCTGCATGGAGCACAGTACAGATAGCCAATTTTTGAGCTTTGCAGTTAAAAACAAACAGTTATTTGAGACAACACAATAGTACTCAATCTAATTTGCTATAGTTTTTGTTTCAACAAATTAGTTTCTTGTTTTGCTTAAGATAATATTATTTGTTGTCTTATAAGGTTCTGGATGGTAACCAAGACAGACAAGGGATGGTACAACAGTTTCAACAATATGCTGACAGGATTTTGGGTTTCAAAGGATGGAGACCAACAAATGATCTCTAGGATTTCTACTTCACCATGTGTTAAAAGAATTGTGAAAGGTGGAACAATTAACTAAGGCTTTATATATCTAGACTTCAAATTTGTAATTTGTTTGTTAGAGGAGAAGTTCAGTAAAGAGGTTATAGATATGTAGTTGTACTAGTGAGAAAAACAAGTTATCGGTAGTTTACATAATGTACTACCTACAAATTAAATTTATCTAGCAATTTGAAGACAGTTTGCCCAAAGTTATTAAGAAAAACTGTATTATTATTTTTTTAGCAAAAATCTATAGAAGCAAGCAAAGTTTTAAACCAAAAAATGTGTATAACTGCAGAGGAGCAGACTTGAACTTTATATTTATACATTCAGATGGGTTTGCTGAAAAATGACAAACTGTTGAATTCTCTTGATGATCTGTTTTTATTTTTTAACAAGGCGATAACAAAGTGGGAAATTTGATTGCAGGAATGGGAAAGTAAGTAAGTTAAGCTTGCATTTACAGTTTCTACTTCTTATTTTCAGTATTTTTCAAGAACTATTTTAACCATGAGTTTTTAATGTCTTCAAAAAAAAAGCTTTAATTTCTGGCAGTGACACCAATTAAAGATTCAAATATAGAGCCCTCTGTTAAACACAGACACAAAAACAATGTTGCAATGTACAAAATTGCTCACTGCATACTTGTTTTTCTTATGATGTATGGTGGTGAACTTTTTTGTTTTCCAAGGGTTTTACTGATAGACTGATTATGTTAGAAATTTTGTAAAAACTGTTTCGATTCAATAATCAAAAACTGTTTATATTGGAGATATTTTACTTGAAATTATTAAATGTTTCTTCATTTAGATTTTCAGGTTAATTGGAAATTTAAACAAAATGTACAAGTAATGTAATATTAATTGTCTGTACAATAGTAATTAAAATTTTAATCAAATCTAAATATATAGTAATAATTGACTATTACATATCACCTGGTCAAGTAGTAAAAAAATAAATGTATTTTTAAATAATCTTCTCAACACTTGGCTACAACCTAGTGGCAGTGAATTTCATTTGAAAAACAAAAGTAATCATAATTCTTAGTTCATAGAAACTGTTTCTGTCAATCTGTCAAGCATTCCAGCTTTTTTTTAAATAAAATTTTATAGTGATATTTATGGTAACAGTTTGGTTTAATAATGTTGTTATAAAATTATCCTGACATTCTCTTTCATCATGGTTTTTTTTATCTTAAATGGATATTTATAAAAAAATTTGATATAGAACTTTATTTCTTGTCAAGTTTTGAAACTTTTGTAGGTCTAACCTTGCTTGTAAACTATTTGTGAATGCTAAATATTTAATTTCAGTGGAGTATGAGCAATTCTCATTGTGGAGTATTTAATTATGATGTTTAAACTAGTCAGTAAGTGTTTTTATCATTACGCTTAAAATTTTATTTTATTTATATTGTAATCCTGTATTTGTAAACTCTGAATAAGAGCACGAACACTCAAAGAAATATTCTTACTTACTAGTTGTACGAAACACTGGATATAACTTTTTTGTATTCCAAATAATTTGGCCATATGAATGCAACTCTCAATTCTGTAAGATAAATCATCAATAGGTTCTTCATTGTGAAAAAACATTTGCTTTTTTCCAGTTACATGAACATTTTACAAGCTTCTAACTTTGACTTGTTCTTTTTTTTTCATATGTTTGTGGAGATTTATACCAGTTTGGATTTCATGTTTTGCCTTTTATTCGCCTGTTTCAGATAATTTTGTTGATAAAAAAAAAACAAGTTTATTTCTCCAAAATGCCTTTCCTCAGCACAAAACCTTTTTCTTAAATGGCATATTATATATGTTTTTTAGATTGAATGTATGGTATTTTTGAAATAAATGTATAAAAAAAGATTTAAGTCAGTATGTACATGTAGACGATTTTACTTATTTTAACCACAGAGGAAAGAATATAGATGAATCAGCACTGCTAAACACACAAGTGAAGTTAGCTATGGAGAACTTACTGCCATATTATGGCACCTAACATATTATAACTGCATAGATCATTTAGCTGTGAGGGATCCCTAGTTCATGTATTAGAAATAATAACAAAATGGTCTTATTGTGCTTCTTGCTGTACAAAAAGATCGGAAAAAGAAAAAAAACTGACTTTTTTTTCACAGAATTAAGTTTTTTAACATACATTATTTATTTAATAGTAAATAAGATTTTCAACGAAGTAGCTGAAGCATGAAAAAAAAAGAACAACAAAATAATAAATAAATAACTCTGTGAAACATTCTGTACTGCCTGGCATGGCCAGGTGGTTAGAGCACTCGACTCTCAATCTGAGGGTTGCGGGTTGAATCCCTGTCACACCAAACCTGCTGACGGTCTATCCCACTATTCGTTGGTAAAAGCGAAGCCCAAGAGTTGGCGGTGGGTGGTGATGAGTAGCTGCCTTCCCACTAGTCTTACACTGCTAAATTAGGGATGGCTAGCGCAGATAGCCCTCGTGTAGCTTTGTGCGAAATTTAAAACAAACAAACCTCTAGAATCAAGGTAGGTAGGTAAAGCTGGCGAATGTAATGTTGAAAACCTGTTCTAGAGGTGCATAGTATTTAGGTCGGCCCGGCATGGCCAGGTGGTTAGGGCGCTCGAACCGCAATCTGAGGGTCGCGGGTTCGAATCTCCGTCACACCAAACATGCTCGCCCTTTCAGCCATGTGGGCGTTATAATGTGACGGTCTATCCCACTATTCGTTGGTAAAAGCGAAGCCCAAGAGTTGGCGGTGGGTGGTGATGAGTAGCTGCCTTCCCACTAGTCTTACACTGCTAAATTAGGGAAGGCTAGCGCAGATAGTTCTCGTGTAGGTTTGCGCGAAATTCAAAACAAACAAACAAACACAGTATTTAGGATAAAGCAAAATATTTACGATTCGCAATTCTGAAGAAGTGAAATATGTATGCGTAATTAGTAAACTGCGTAAACATAAAATATTAGTGTAGTTTTGTTTTTCTATTTTGGTTAAAAACTAGCGTTTCGTTTGATCTGAAATGGACTTTTCATGTAATGTTCATTTTAGGAAAAACTTCCGGCTGAATTTCTATCAATAATCTGACTAGATCTCCTGGGGGAATTAAATGACACCGAATTTCCATTTATCATCCATCCTCAACATTAGGTTTAATTCCCTATATTAATTATTGCAATATTTGAGAGATTTTCTGAGATTTAAGAAATAAACAATTAACTGTGAAATATGGGCTTGTAAAATTCTATCTTGATTTTGAGCTGAAAAAACTTTTGTTTTTATGTGTTGCAAGAAATTACGAAGGTTATTAACAATTCTAAGGTTTATAGTTTAACATTTATTGTTATTTGTTTTACTATACTATTTTTTATTAAAGATAAACCTTAGCTCATGTTAGTCCTCTGGAGAGACGCGGTAAATTTACGGACTAACAACGCTAAAATCCGGTGTTTGAATACCCGCGGTGGACACACCAGATAGGAAGTTACTATAAAAAACAACAACAAAAGCTTATGTTAATAGATTATCTTCACCTGGTATGATGCTTAATTATCAGACTTTAGTGATTTACTCAGAATAAATAACATTACGTAGTTTGTATCTGAACCCAAACCAGACCAGGGCCTAAATAACTGCCCTAACATTACGTAGTTTGTAAATGAACAAAAACTAGACCAGGGCCTAACTAACCCCTAACATTACGTGGTTTGTAAATGAACCCAAACCAGACCAGGGCCTAAATACCTCCCTAACATTACGTAGTTTGTAAATGAACAAAAACTAGACCAGGGCCTAACTAACCCCTAACATTACTGAACCCAAACCAGATCAGGGCCTAAATAACTGCCCTAACATTACGTAGTTTGTAAATGAACCCAAACCAGACCACGGCCATGTGATTGAAAACTATAGCACAATCAAGTCGTTAGATAATTTATTTCACAACCAAAATGTTCGTTGTTTAATATTCATAACCACTAATGTAAATTTCAACAGAAGCTCAGTAGATCTACGAATATTTAGTTAAAAGATTAAGTGATTTAGAGAACTTTATACTGATTATATCAAAGTAGTATTATACAAAACTAGAATACACAAAGAAATACACGCACTGTTGGGTTATTAATAACTTAGTGAGGATGTGACAGAAAATAGAGAGTACAGTTATGTGTGTTGTTGTCTTCTACGTTTGTTTGTTTTCAATAAATAGCCACACAATGGACTGTGTGCGCTCTGTCCACCACAGGGAGTCGAACCCCAAATTTTAGCGTTGTAAGTTCGGGTGGGGGATGGACCGGGGAATTCTGTTTCAGGCTGTTATCTGGTTGTGAGAAGTGCTGGGAAATATTCATTGGGATTTGGTGAGTCTCGTTTTCGATTTTAAATCAATTATTAAAAAATAGGAAAAAAATTATTTCTGGATCTTACTTAATAACTTGAGAAGTTTATGTTTGTTTTCAATGGTGGAGTTTGTAAAACAATTTCATATGGACTTGCAGAATATAATATAAATATACATAGTTCTAATGTCTTAAAAATGTCTTTATATTACAGTTTTTAACCACTATTTGTATCCGTTGTGCACAAAATTTTCTGATAAATAAGGCAGTGATGTAAGCAGGTAACAGCTACCAAACTTCAAGATGTAAAGTTACCAGTTGTTTGAAGTTGTAAAGTTGAACACCTACCAGAAAAAAACATCCTAAAGACTCTCGATGACAAGCCTCGATCTCCTTCATTTGTTGGGCAAATATTGTAGGCTCCAAAATGGAGTCGACGACAGTACCTTGATGAATGTCTTCCAACTCCACGTCAATACCCAGAGCGGAACAATGTCTTTGAAGATCTGGAAATACCACCTCGTGCAAGTGACGACGTTCATGTTCAAAATCTAAACGGTTAAAAAAAAAGTCAATAAAATCTGTTTAATGAAATAAAGCAAAAAAAAAATTACAAGTTAGCGGATTAAACTACACCATTGAATTACAATAACAACCACAATAATGACCTACAACAACATCCACAACAGCATCTACAACAATAAACTATAGCAACACTCACAGCGGTTGGCTACAACAAAAACCATAGCAGTTGGCTACATCAACAACCACAACAATTAAATACAACAACAACGAAGGTAATGAGCTACAAAAACAAGATTGAGATTTCATAGTGTAGAATTTTTGGTTATGCTAGAGATAGGAACATTGTATAAAGTTTGACATAAAGTATATATTCTGGGAAATTAGAAATTTGTGAACAACAGAAAATGAAAAGCGACGAACTTTCATTGCTGATTTATCAAACACATTTAGATTTCAAGAAAACAAGTTTTATTAAGTAAGAATATAACTGCCCGGTTCGCTTTTCATGCAGTAACACATTTCAAACATTCACTAAAATGAAGTTTTACACACACACACACACACCAAAATATGACCATTCATCTCTTAGAATGTTTTATATGCCAGTAAGTTAAATTAATTTTCATCACTAGCTCAGACTTATACTACTGTATACTTGAATAATTATATCTGAAATACCGTAGGCAGCTTTAAGAAGCTGGTGCAACGTTTTGTGTGTTTTATACTGTGTTAGTATGCCAGAAAGTAGACATTATACAACTTTTTGTGTCTGACACAATACCAATCCATCTATCTGTCTGATATAATACCTATCAACCTATCTGTCTGGCATAATAGCTATCAACCTATCTGTCTGACACAGTACCCATCAACCTATCTGTCTGACACAGTACCCATCAACCTATCTGTTTGACATAATACCTATCAACCTATCTGTCTGATATAATACCTATCAACCTATCTGTCTGACACAATACCTATCAACCTATCTGTATGACACAATAGCTATCAACCTATCTGTCTGACATAATACCTATCTACCTATCTGTCTGACACAATACCAATCAACCTATCTGTCTGACACAATACCTATCAACCTATCTGTCTGACACAATACCCATCAACCTATCTGTCTGACACAATACCCATCAATCTATCTGTCTGACACAGTACCCATCAACTTATCTGTCTGACACAATACCTATCAACCTATCTGTCTGACACAGTACCCATCAACCTATCTGTCTGACATAATACCTATCAACCAATCTGTCTGAAATAATACCTATCCACCTATCTGTATGACACAATACCCATCAACTTATCTGTCTGACACAATACCTATCAACCTATCTGTTTGACATAATACCTATCCATGTATCTGTCTGACACAATACCTATCAACCTATCTGTCTGACACAATACCAATCAACTTATCTGTCTGACACAATACCTATCAACTTATCTGTATGACACAATACCTATCCACCTATCTGTCTGACACAATACCTATCAACCTATCTGTATGACACAATACCTATCCACCTATCTGTATGACATAATACCTATCCACCTATCTGTATGACATAATACCTATCCACCTATCTATCTGACACAGTACCCATCAACCTATCTGTCTGACACAGTACCCATCAACTTATCTGTATGACACAATACCTATCCACCTATCTGTATGACATAATACCTATCCACCTATCTGTATGACATAATACCTATCCACCTATCTATCTGACACAGTACCCATCAACCTATCTGT